GATCACAGCTGACCCAGTTAGCAATGTCTGGCAGACAGATATCACGTTTTATATAATTTGAGTAGACACACAGGTGTAAACACTCACCATACATAGAGTTTAAGAAAATCACTGGGAAAATGGCCGCGCCCATTGGGCTCCAGTAAAAAGGCGGCCGAGAGATATAAATAGGAGTATTAGCATAGTCGTGGCATCTAATCATTCCCCCTGATGAAGTCACGTGACCCTGTGACGATACGCGTAGGGGAGGGGCTCTGACGTCACGACATTGCACTGGAGAGGCTCGGTGATCTGAATACAGACACAGGTAGACAGCACTGCAGGAACAGAGGCAGAGCACATTTATGCTGGACTACAATTGTATACTACTGTGCAACTGGCAGCAATAAACCCCCTTTTTGCACAAGGATAAGACACTATGGTCTGTTTGTCTTCCTTTCTCAATTGAACAACACCCTTTGAGCTGATATAAGGAGGACTGGAAAAGGAAACAGCCCCAGGAGGGGAATTGGGAGATCCTCAGAGAGATGGTCAGTATACCCACTCATGATGAGCAGCTACAGGAGAACAAATATAAATCCACATCCACCTTCTGAGATAATTCAAGAGCATCATTCCATCCCATCTATCCTGGAAGGATAAAAAGTGTATTTGCCTGGATTTATTCAGGCAAATATAGAGGTGAGCACATAGGGAGACCATTAAGCACTCGGCGAGAGGGAACCAAGAATCCACCTGCACATTTATTTTGAAAGACTTTTTTTTTTTTTTTTTTTTTTTTTTTTTTTTTTTTTTTTGAATATATCATAAGCACGTGCACATAATATATATGTGTTTGCACAATATAAATATAAGGATCACAGTAGAATAGAGGAGTATTTCTGATTTGTATATCACTGTACTTTAATAGGCACTATCACCTTAGGATTATCAGTTATTAATGTCACTTGCATGAAGATTAATATTCACAATGATGTTTTGAGTCACTAGTAATAATTGTTTGATACATGCAGTATCTTGAAAGCTATTCATTAGCACTTTGAAAGTATAAGATATACATATTGGTACATGGGAGCGCGGCACTATCTATTTTGAAAACTGTCTTATGCAGGCCATAGACGTGGAGAAAAACCGGCCGTTTTTTTTTTTTTTAGAAAAACGAAAAATCGGTCGTTCACTTAGCCAACGTTACCACCATTGGTAACAAAAAGTCAGTTGATTTTTGTCCCGTCTATGGCCGGCAATTAATATAATAGCGGTGTCCCTGCAGAGAGCTCCGCTATATTTGACATTTAAAAGAAGAAGAAATAGAATATGAATAATAATAATAATGAAAAGTTGCAACATTGTATCTATTTGTATCCATTTCGGATACAGATGTTTCTATTCGGATACAAATAGATACAATGTTGCAACCGCAATACTTTTAAATGTCAAATATCATAGCGAAGCTCTCTGCAGGGACACCGCTAATAGATTTGACATTTCTAAGTATTGCGGTTGCAACATTGTGTCTTTTTGTATCCATTTCGGATACAGATGTTTCTATTCGGATACAAATAGATACAATGTTGCAACCCTTATACTTTTAAATGTCAAATATCATAGCGAAACTCTCTGCAGGGACACCGCTAATAGATTTGACATTTCTAAGTATTGCGGTTGCAACATTGTATCTTTTTGTATCCATTTCGGATACAGATGTTTCTATTCGGATACAAATAGATACAATGTTGCAACCCTTATACTTTTAAATGTCAAATATCATAGCGAAGCTCTCTGCAGGGACACCGCTAATAGATTTGACATTTCTAAGTATTGCAAACATTGTATCTATTTGTATAGATACAAATAGATACAGATGTTCTTCTTTTTCTTTGGCCACGGCTCATGTGCATTTTTTTAATCGGGAAAAAGATTGTCCGATTTGCCCATCATTGCCGTGAAAATCGTCCGATGGGCAAAATCGACCATTTTTTTTCCCAACATGAACGATTAAAAAAAAATGTGTCAAAATCAAGAAAACCGGCCGACCAATTCAGACAGTAACGATCCGAAAATCGGCCGATTGTTCTTTTGGACAAATTTTCGGCTGGTTTTCTCCCCGTCTATGGCCGGCATTAGTGTGAGTCCTATGCAGATGCAGCGTTGTCTCCCAAGGCCATGTACTCCCTTTGCACTGTAAGCTGACGTGCCAGCACAATCGCACTGGCACGTTTAGTTAATATTTGGTACTCATCCTAGATCACAATCGCCCATAGATCAGCTAACATGTAGCTTGAAAAGATATTCACAGCAGAATAAACACATTGACTTTTATCAGGACATGGTTTACTAATTTTTTTAAAGTGACACTGTTGCTAAATTAAAACCGCAGCAAAAGGTTGCCTGTATCGAAGATGATAAATACTCACTACTCCCACCACCTGCACTGACAAACACTGCTGTCTGTTATAATACAGGGTAAATATCCAGGGCTGTGCAAATTACATAATAGTTGAAGGAAAATTTTTTAAATTTTTTTTCATATTTACACATATTAGTGATTCATCAAGTGTAATAAAAATTGAAAGGTTTTATTTATCTCAGTATTTTGACGGGGAAGGAGGGACCAGGGAGGGCAAAATATAAGCAGTAAAGTGTAAAGTGTTCCATCAATTTGTTGTGGATCACTTTTCAGCAGGCGGCTAAGGTCCGCTGTCAGGCAGTAAGGGGATGATCTTACTGTTTTGCGGAATACCTGTGTTGATTTTATTTTTTGCCTAAAATGGTTGTAAAGTTGATTCATTATATGGATGAAGGTGAAAAAAACCTCCTGTGTGCTGCTCCGCCCCACAGCCCCCTTTAATACTAACCTGAGCCTCCGTTCCCTCTAATACTAACCTGAGCCTCCGTTCAATCCAGCGATGTGCACATTGGCCTCAGCTGTTCCGGGTTTCGCTCTTCTAATTGACTGAGATAGCAGCGGGAGCCATCTGCTCCCACTGCTGTCAATCACAGCAAATGAAGAGAGAGTGGGGGGGGGGGGGGGGGGGGGGGGGGCAACGGCTCTGTGTCCTATGAATGCATAGAGCAGGGATTGGGAGTGAGCATACATCATTGCCCCCATAGAAAGAAACTTACTATTGGGGGTACTGGTGAAGGGGGAGAGGGCAAGAAGTGCTGGCAGGGCACCTGAAAAGAATAGTATCAAGGCTGCTCTGTGCAAAACCATTGCACAAAGCAGGTAAGTATACCATGTTTGTTATTTAAAGAAAAAAAAACCGAACCATTACTATTTTCATGGTGACTTGTTAGAGATCAATGTGTCACAACCGGATTGCGGCCTCAATGGCTCAAATGGGAAAGTTTTGAGAGTAGTTGCGGCCTGTCAACTTGACAATCCGCGTAGCATTCCACACGACACATAGCTTTGCCGATACCACATGTCCAGCTGCCTCTGCCTGCATGGTAGCTTTTAGGCAGGCCGTCAGGGAGGCAATAAATTTGCAACTGAACGGTCCCATGGCATCCTGTGAGAAAGAGGCCTTACTGTGTACGTGGTGAGTCCCCCTCAATCTGGGCCACTTGTTTAATGTTTAATAGGAGCTTCAACTTCCTTGACTTGGAGCTTCACCCTTTCCTGCTTTCCACAAACTGAGAGTATTAATAGCTGTTTAGATGCTTTCATTGCTGATGACAGGAAGAACAAATCTCTAAGCTGGAGAAAACCAGGCCTGCATTCCCAGGAGCACAGGGAAGGATTATGGAGCAAAGCACAAGTATGATGGAGGAAAGATGCAGCAAGATGCCTTCTTTAATCCTAGGTTCACATCTGTGTGGGTGGTGCCGCTGCGGATCCGCCCGAAAATCTGTGCAGCCGCACCCACCCGCACAGAGAATTGGGGACCTGCGGGCAGGTGCCATTAGTTCTAATGGCACGCCGCCCCCACTGGGAAACGCTACCGTACTCTTGTCAAGCTGCTTCTGAACAGCAAACAACATCAGAAGCGTCTTACCTGGGCTAAAGAAAAACAGACCTGGTCTGCTGCTCAGTGGTCAAGTCCTCTTTTCTGATGAGAGCAACTTTTGCATCTCATTTGGAAACCAAGGATCCCGAGTATGGAGGAAGAATGGAGAGGCACAAACTGCAAGATGCTTGAAGTCCAGTGTGAAGTTTCCACAGTCTGTTGATTTGGGGAGCCATGTCATCTGCTGGTGTTGGTCCACTGTGCTTCATTAGGTCCAGGGTCAGCGCAGCCGTCTACCAGGAGATTTTGGAGCACTTCATGCTTCCTTTCGCAGACGAGCTTTATAGGGATGCTGACTTCATTTTCCAGCAGGACTTGGCACCTGCCCACGCTGCCAAAAGCACCAAAACCTGGTTCAATGACCGTGGGATTACTGTGCTTGATTGGCCAGGAAACTCGCCTGACCTGAACCCCATAGAGAATCTATGGGGCATTGCCAAGAGAAAGATGAGACATGAGACCGAACAATGCAGAAGACCTGAAGGCCACTATTGAAGCATCCTGGTCTTCCATAACACCTCAGCAGTGCCACAGGCTGATAGCATCCATGCCACGCCGCATTGAGGCAGTAATTGCTGCAAAAGGGGCCCAAACCAAGTACTGAGTACATATGCATGCTTCTACTTTTCAGAGGTCCGATATTGTTCTATGTACAATCCTTGTTTTATTGATTGCATGTAATATTCTCATTTTCTGAGATTGTGGATTTGGGGTTTTCATGAGCTGTAAGCCATAATCATCACAATGATGACAAATCACGGCTTGAACTATCTTGCTTTGCATGTAATGAGTCTATCTCATATATTAGTTTCACCTTTTAAGTTGCATTACTGAAATAAATGAACTTTTGCACCATATTCTAATTTTTCGAGTTTCACCTGTAGTTTAGCTTTGTAACTTCTAAAGAACTGTAATATCCATCCCTTGTGCCTTTTACAGTCCTGTAAATGTTCTATTTTTTTTTTTTTTTTTCTCCGGATGCCCCTACAGAATCCTACGTGGAGAAGTCTTGACTTTGGCTTGATGCCCGATAGACTGGACACATCTGTGTCCTGTTTTGTGGTTCGGATATGGGGTGGAAGAAATGATGATTTCCAGCTCCTTATTGAATGGAAAGTGAACCTTGATGGGCTTAAATATTTGGGCCCACAGGTAAGATTTATGCTCACCTAGACTTTAATTGCTTATAAATGCATTCACTCATCGATAATTATTGGGTATTAATTCACAAAGATAAATCTTCTCTTTTTTTTTTCTATTTTTTTTTTTTAATGAATTAATTTATCTTGAAAGTGCTTTTTATTAAATGGCTGCTTTTGTAGAATCCTCATTTTTGGTATTCTGATGTTAATGCTGTTTTATTTTCTCTGTGAAATCCTTTCAAACAGGTATACAATAATGTGTATGTGTGTATGTAGTAAGTTCAGTAGGGCCAATTTTGACATTCCTCTTCTACATGTCCCAAAACATTGTTTCTCTCTATCGCCTTCCAGAACGGCAGGCCTGAGAGAATAGAGGCTCCTCCCTACAGGAAACACAATCAATTTACAGCTGTTAGAAGTCCCCTGCCTTCCCCCTACCCTCCAGTATTGATTGTGTTTCTCCCTACAATGGAACATTTGTTGTTTTTGTGACCAGAAGACCAGAGAGGGTCGGATGGTACCCCTGTGAGGCAGGCATAGGGATGCCGGGGAGGGCTGAACTAACCTGCAGGCTCGTTCCTTCTCACAGGTTGCCCCCAGTTGGCACCAGCACTCCAGTCTCAGGGGAGTGTGACCATCGCTGTAGTGTGTTTGAAATGCCACCCGGCTGCTCTCTCTCTCCCCCCACATAGTTTCAGCAGTCAGTGGATTGCAGGAAGGAGGAGAGCATGCACTCCCAAGCCCCATTCTAGCATCAGCAGGATCTTTTGGCCGCGTGGGCAGGGCCAAGAACACAGCGAAGCCTGCAAGAGGGCTGAGAGATTCTGGAGGGCTCCGGGGTGTGAGGAGGACAGCAGGGCAGCTCACGGTGGTCAGCTGACAGTCCAGGATGGTACACCTGGGATCTGCAGTGGAGACTGGGCTGAACCACCTCATGGAGAAGGAGAAAGGGATGGCGGGCACCCGGCGACTGCGGGCAAGTCTAAGTTGGAGCTCAGTGAGTGACTTTCTTGAAGGGGAATGCTAGGTGGGAAAAGGGGGCCCAGATTGACTATGTCAGGCCAGCCTGGTCAGACCAGGTGGCCTACCTGAATTGTCAGGGTGGAACCAGATGCAGACATCTTCTGGACCTATCCAAGGAGATCCTGGGTTGCGCTGAAGGGTAGATTCTTTCCCTAGCAGTGGTTCATATAAAAGGGACAAGCAACCAGGAGGCAGACTTTCTTAGTCACCAGCTGATTAGACGGGGATTGGGAGCTGAGTGAGAAGGTCTTTCAGGCCTTGGTCCAACGGTTCGGCTTGCCAGAAATGGACCCTTTTGCCACTGGCAAGAACAGAAAAGTAAGAAAGTTCTTCTTGATAGAGTCAGATATTCTAGATGTCTTGTTGCAGATTTGGCAGTTTAGGCTGACATATGCCTTTTCCCCCTTTGTGAGTCCTCCAGAAGCTTAGCCAGTCGGTCAGGCCACCTCCCTTGGTGGCCAAGGAGGAGGGTGTAGTTCTTGACCCTAAAATCCCTGTCGATGGCACTGCCTTGGAGGCTTCCGATTCTTCCATATTTTCTTCTTTAGGGTCCTGTGTTTCACCCCAAGCTGGAGTTCTTCCAATTGACAGCCTGGCTAGTGAGCTCTAGATCCTAAAAAGTAATGTTTGTTTCGACAGAGTTAGACACCCTCCTCCTAAGCAGAAAGCCTGTAACCAGGAAAATTTACTCCAAAGTATGGAAAATTTTTTGTTCATGGTGCAAATGGAAACAAGTATCCTATACCTCTGTTCCTATAATTCTGGAGTTTCTCCAGGATGGTGAGGAGAGAGGGGTGGCAGTTAGCACCCTTCCAGTACAAACTGCTGCATTTTCAGTTTTTCTTAATGCTAGATTAGCTAGAGAACCTTTAAACGGCTTTTGGTGGCCAGGGAAAGAATTACTCCAGCCACAAAAGAGAGGTTTCTCTGCCATGGGATCTGACCAGAGTGCTAGAAGCCCTATCGAAGCACCCTTCTGAACCAATAGAGAAGGTTCCCTTTTAACTGTTTGACATTAAAATTATCTTTTTTTGTTGGTCATCACCACGGCTAGAAGAGTTGGAGATCTACAAAATTTGTGGGAACGCATAAGAAGATAAATTCCACCGTCTTTATATGCGGAGGTGTCTCCTCACTTATCTGCATGGGGCAAAGATTTTAGGAGATCCGTCCGACCATCTGCTAATTTCTTATGCTGGACCAAGAAAGGGACTTCAAGCCTCTAAGGCTTTGGTCTTCAGGTGGATCAGACAAACTATTGCCTTATGCCGGCCATAGACGGGTCAAAAATCAGGTGGAAAAAAAATCGGCCGATTTTCACACTGTTAGTGGGTTAATTGGTTGGCTGTTTTTTTGGTGTTTTTTGCACACTTTTTTTTTTATCCGTCATGTTGGAAAATTCGCGGGCGATTTTGACGATCGGGCGATTTTTCCCGGCAATGATGGGCAAATCGGCCAAACGTTTTACCGATAAAAAATCTGTGCATAAGCTGTGACTTACAAGGGACAGAAGTTATGGGGTGAACTTTCTGATTTTGTCGGCCTGTTTTTTTTTTTTTTTTTTTTACCTTTGGTGGTAACGTCGAACGAACGATTTTTCGTCTTTTTTTTTTTTTTTTTTTTTTTTTCAAAAAATTGGCTAATATTCGACCCGTCTATGGCCTGCATAAGCTTATGAGAGTTCAGAGTTTCCAGCACCAGCGAAGGTGAAAGGTGGCGCCACCTGGTCCAATCACTCTCTTGAAACATTACGGGATTGAAGTGCTGTTGCAGCAAGACTTAGCCTTCGGCCACTTCTCAGGTGTGACGTCCTGGAAGGTGATAGGAGAAAAAAAACCATTAGACTTACCGATAATGGCATTTTACGAACCTTCCAGTACATCAGGACAACTTCCCAAGTTGAGGAAGGCAAAAAAAAAAAAAAAAACCTCCCAAGTTGGTATTTGGTGAGTGCTTAAGTAGACTTAGTCCCTTTTGGACCGGCCTTACAAAACTGAAGGGCAAGGGACTTATAACAGCTGTTAGGGAGGAGCCTCTCTTCTCTTAGGCCTGCCGTCCTGGAAGGTTTGTAGTAATGCCGTTACAGGGAAGAAAACTATGTAGAACTCCCAAACATTTATATATATTTTAAGCAGAAGGCTCTAGAGCAGCAATGGGCAAAAAACGGCCCGGCGGGACCATTAATCCGGCCCGCGGAGCTACCGATGGTCCCAAGCCGCGGCTCTTTACATTTCTAGATGCGGCTCTCCTGTGTGCTTCCCTAATCCTCTCCTCTCGACAACTTCCTCTCGGACGTCAGGACCTGGCTATTGTAGGCGGGGCAGCCAGGATGTAACGAACTCCTCTCACAGTCCTCCCTGAAGACCAGAACGGCGCGGGAATACGAGAGGAACGCGCGGACCAAAGGTAAGTGAAAAACAGGGGGGGGACTTACTATATGGGGGACTTACTATATGGGGGGATGAATTACTATAGGGGGGACTTACTATATGGGGAATGAATTACTATATGGGGGACTTACTATATGGGAATTAATTACTATATGGAGGACTTACTATATGGGGAATGAATTACTATATGGGGGACTTACTATATGGGGAATGAATTACTATATGGAGGACTTACTATATGGGGAATGAATTACTATATGGGGGATGAATTACTATGGGGGACTATATGGGGAATGAATTACTATATGGAGGACTTACTATATGGGGAATGGGGGGACTTACTATATGGGGAATGAATTACTATATGGAGGACTTACTATATGGGGAATGAATTACTATAAATTACTATATGGGGAATGAATTACTATATGGAGGACTTACTAGGGGGATGAATTACTATATGGGGGATGAATTACTATATGGGGGATGAATTACTATATGGGGGATGAATTACTATGTGGGGGATGAATTACTATGTGGGGGATGAATTACTATGGGGGATGAATTACTATATGGGGGATGAATTACTATGGGGGATGAATTACTATGGGGGGATGAATTACTATAGGGGGGATGAATTTATGGGGGACGAATTACTATATGGGGACGAATTACTATATGGGGGATGAATTACTATGGGGGATGAATTACTATATGGGGGATGAATTACTATATGGGGGATGAATTACTATATATGGGGGATTAATTACTATGGGGGATTAATTACTATGCTTACTATGGGGGAATATTACTATACTTACTATGGATGACACATACACATCATTCATCTACTCTTGGTCCGGCCCCCGGGTCCAATATATTTTGCGGCCCTCAAGTCAAAAAGTTTGCCCACCCCTGCTCTAGAGAATAAAATGGTGGGTGTCGCAGATATTTGTAACACTGTATTTGCACAGCGGTTTTCAAAAAGCCACTTTTTATAAATTTTAATGCACAAAAACACAATATAGTACCCAATTTTTTGTTAAAATAAAAAGATAATGTTATGTTGAGAAAATACATGCCAAATATGTTGTGCTTTAAAATTGCCTGCGCCCAGGGAACTGCAACAAACTATGGTACATAGAAATCTCCATAGGCAACTCTTTAAAACCCTGAACAGGTTACCAGTTTAGATTTCTGGTGCTAGAATTATTGCTTGCACTCTGATGTTCGTGGCGATACCTCATGTGCGGTGCAGTCACCATTTACAGATGCATGCTCTTGCCTTTGCACGTGAGCACAGTGAGACGAGGGCGCTTTTAAAAAAAAAAAAAAAATCTAATATACAGTGGGGATCGAAAGTTTGGGCACCCCAGCTAAAAATTTGTATTAATGTGCATAAAGAAGCCAAGGAAAGATGGAAAAATCTCAAAAAGGCATCAAATTACAGATTAGACATTCTTTATAATATGTCAACAAAAGTTAGATTTTATTTCCATCATTTACACTTTCAAAATAACAGAAAACAAAAAAATGGCATCTGCAAAAGTTTGGGCACCCTGCAGAATTTATAGCATGCACTGCCCCCTTTGCCAAGCTGAGACCTGCCAGTGTCATGGATTGTTCTCAATCATCGTCTGGGAAGACCAGGTGATGTCAATCTCAAAGGTTTTAAATGCCCAGACTCATCTGACCTTGCCCCAACAATCAGCACCATGGGTTCTTCTAAGCAGTTGTCTAGAAAACTGAAACTGAAAATAGTTGACGCTCACAAAGCTGGAGAAGGCTATAAGAAGATAGCAAAGCGTTTTCAGATGTCAATATCCTCTGTTCGCAATGTAATTAAGAAATGGCAGTCATCAGGAACAGTGGAAGTTAAAGCACGATCTGGAAGACCAAGAAAAATATCAAACAGAACAGCTCACAGGATTGTAAGAAAAACAATTCAAAACCCACGTTTGACTGCACGATCCCTCCAGAAAGATCTGGCAGACACTGGAGTTGCGGTACACTATTCCACTCTAAAGAGATACTTGTACGAATATGGTCTTCATGGAAGAGTCATCAGAAGAAAACCTCTTCTACGTCCTCACCACAAAAATCATTGTTTGAACTTTGCAAATGAACATATCGACAATCTGATGCATTTTGGAAACAAGTTCTGTGGACCGATTATGTTAAAATTGAACTTTTTGGCCGGAATGAGTAAAGGTACGTTTGGAGAAGAAGGGGCACAGAATTTAATGAAAGGAACCTCTGTCCAACTGTTAAGCATGGGGTTGGATCAATCATGCTTTGGGGTTGTGTTGCAGCCGGTGGCACAGGGAACATCTCACGAGTAAAAGGAAAAATGGATTCAATAAAATTTCAGCAAATTTTGGATGGTAACATGATGCCATCTGTGAAAAAGCTGAAGTTAAAGAGAGGATGGCTTCTACAAATGGATAATGATCCTAAACACACCTCGAAATCATAGGGGATTACATCAAGAGGCGTAAACTGAAGGTTTTGCCATGGCCTTCACAATCTCCTGACCTCAACATAATTGAAAATCTATGGATAGACCAAACAGGCCAAAAATCTCAAAGAACTGGAAGACTTTTGTAAGGAAGAATGGGCAAAGATACCTGAAACAAGAATTGAAAGACTCTTGGCTGGCTACAAAAAGCGTTTACAAGCTGTGATACTTGCCAAAGGGGGCAGTACAAGATATTAACTCTGCAGGGTGCCCAAACTTTTGCAGACGCCATTTTTTTGTTTTCTGTTATTTTGAAAGTGTAAATGATGGAAATAAAATCTAACTTTTGTTGACATATTATAAAGAATGTCTAATCTGTAATTTGATGCCTTTTGGAGATTTTTCCATCTTTCCTTGGCTTCTTTATGCACATTAATACACATTTTTAGCTGGGGTGCCCAAACTTTCGATCCCCACTGTATATATGAGCCTGAGGTCTGCATTCTGCGCTGTGTCTCCCTCTGCTTGTGTGAGTAGACTGTCAGCTGGCGCCATCTTGGATGCAGGGGCTGAGAGCAGGGAAGAAGCTCGTCCGCTTCCCTGGCTGCCCTGGTGATCTACGGCATCGGGGCATGGTCCGGAGGATGGTAAGAGCCTCTGTATCCCCTTATATCTCTGGGGAGAGGCTGCGGTGTGTCTCTGGGTCTGGTGTGTGCCGTGGTTGGGCTGACGGCGGGACGGAGCGCTCACTCACGAGCTGTCATCCCAGAGCCGGCTGCGCATGCGCCCTCGACAGGTCCTCTTTTAAGAAAGATCTTGGGTCTATTAGACCCCATAGCTCTCCTCTGGACTCCAAAGGATCATATCACACCAAGATCAGTGCTTATTCAAGCTGGTAATGACTTGTTTATGTGAGACCAAAACTGGAAGTGACAAAATCCTTGTTGCTTCTGGGGTCTGATGTCACACAGTGACATCGACATCTGTTCCACTGTGTCTCAAGAACAGGATGCCACCGGTCACATTGTTATTGGGCTTCCTGGTAGCACCTGCAAACCTGGTAAAGAGAGGGGGGAGCCCCTTCTGCCACCTGTAAAAGCAATCCAGTAACTCTTTATCCACTCAAATTACTTTTAGAACATGCTGAATTGCCACCTCTAAAAAATGATAAATGTGTGGGTGCGTCCTATGGACTGGTAGTCGTTAATGTTGCTAGTAAATCAAAAAGTTGAATAGAGAAAAAAAGAAAAACAAATAATGCGTACAGGTGTAAATATCACATGCAATGCACTTTTGTGGTTTTTGTTCAGTCACTGGAGTTTAAAGGATTTTATGGATTCACTCTTCTTTGCATTCTGAGAAACTTTTGAACGTTCTGCCATAAATACTTGCCTGCAAGAAATTATAGAAGAGCATTTCACCGTCTTCTGTGTATGCGCACAAGAGTTGTCATCCCAACCCATTGGTAGAAAATACATTTTTGATAGACTTGGTATTGAAGGATTTTATTAAAGTACCTCTAAAGGCTCCTATATGACAGTCAAAGCAAGTATTACATCCAGTTGCTAAGGGATGGACAAGAAAACCAAAAAATATCCTTTAGCTTCTATGACTGAGCCAAATCCTCCTTCCTCCTTTGTGTCTCACACGCTCCCCCTCCCAGACACTGCAGCTCTTTGTGGAAGGGTTTCGGCATTAGATGCAGTGCTGCCAATCCAGAGAGTACAGCTGTGGCCAATTCTTTTGAGAATGACACAAATATTAATTTTCACAAAGTCTGCTGCCTCGGTTTTTATGTTGGCAATTTGCATTTACTCCAGAATGTTATGAAGAGTGATCAGATATATTGCAATTAGTTGCAAAGGCCCTCTTTTCCATGAAAATAAACTTAATCCCAAAACAAAAAAAATTTTCATTGCATTTCAGCCCTGCCACAAAAGGACCAGCTGACATCATGTCCGTGATTCTCTCCTTAACCACAAGCCTACAGGACACTTATACCCCCTTTCTGCCCAGGCCAATTTCCAGCTTTCAGCGCTGTCACACTTTGAGTGACAATGCAACACTGTACCCATATGAAATTTGTATCATTTTTTGTGACAGAGCTTTATTTTGGTGGTATTTAATCACCTCTGGGTTTTTTTATTTTTTCTTAAACCAAAAACCACTGAAAAGTTTGAAAAAACATGTTTTTTTTTAGTTTTTGTTATAAAATTTTGTAAATAAGTGATTTTTCTCCTTCACTGATGTGCGCTAATGAGGCTGCAGTGATGGACACTGATAGGCTGCAGTGATGGACACTGATAGGTGGCACTGGTAGGTGGCACTGATGGGCATTGACAGACATCACTGATGGGTACTGTTGGGCCACACTGAAAGGCAGCTCAGATGGGCACTGATATGTGGCACTGATGGGCACTGGCACGAGGCACTGATGGACACTGACAGGTGGCACTGCTGGGGCTACACTGATCATCAGGGCACACTGATCATCAGTGCCCTGATGATCAGTGTACATGTCCCCTCCGCAGAAAACCGATTACTGGCTCTCCTCTCTAAGCTGTCAGCATGACAGCGCGTGGGGAGAGAAATGCCGATAACCGGCATTTCCCTGTTTACATGTGATCAGCAGTGATTGGACACAACTGATCACATGACTGAGCCGACATCTTCGGCTCTTTCCGTGATCCGCTGTGTCCGAGGGACACCAGCACATCGCCGATCGCCGTGCTGCGCGCTCCCTGAGCCGTGCATGAGCGGTGAGAAAGGGAGGACATCAAATGACATCCTCCCAGAACAAGAAAACCACCTTGCGTCCGTCATATTACTATATGGCGGACGGGAGGTGGATAACACAGGTATCATTGTTGATGAGGTCAAGACTGGAGATCACTGTCATGCTGACTGAGTTGGAATAACAGACTGGAAGCTTTAAAAGGAGGGTAGTGTTTGAAATCGTTGTTCTTTCTCTGTTAACAATGGTTACCTGAAAGGAAACGCATGCAGTCATCATTGCTTTGCACAAAAAGGGATTCACAGGCAAGGATATTGCTGCTACTAAGATTGTACCTAAATCAACCATTTATCGGATCATCAAGAACTTCAAAGAGAGGTTCAATTGTTGCACCTGAGAGAGTCCAGCAAGCGCCTGGACTGTCTCCTAAAGTTGATCCAGGTACGGGATCGAGGCACCAGCAGTGCAGGGCTTGCTCAGGAATGGCAGCAGGCAGGTGTGAGTGCATCTGCATGCACAGTGAGGTGAAGACTTTGAGGATTATCTGGTGTCAAGAAGGTTAGCAAAGAAGCCACTTCTCTCCATGAAAAACATCAGGGACAGACTAATATTCTGCAAAAGGCACAGGGATTGGAGTCCTAAAGGACTGGGGTAAAGTAATTTTTTCTGATGAATCCCCTTTCCGATTTGGTGCATCCGAAAAAACCTTGTCCAGAGAAGAAAAGGCGAGCATTACCATCAGTTCTGTGTCATGCCAACTGTAAAGCATCCTGAGACCATTCATGTGTTGGATTGCTTCTCAGCCAAGGAAATGGGCTCACTCACAATTTTGCCTAAACACAGTCATGAATAAAGAATGGTACAAAAACATCCTCCAAGAGCAACGTCTCTCAACCATCCAAGAACAGTTTTGTGATGAACAATGCCTTTTCCAGCATGATGGAGCGCCTTGCCATAAAGCAAACGTGTTAACTAGCTTGAGGAACAAAACATCGAAATTTTAGGTCCATGGCCAGGAAACTCCCCAGATCTTTAATCCCATTGAGAACTTATGGTCAATCCTCAAGAGGCGGGTGAACAAACCGCCCACACTTAAATCAACTATTTATCAGATCATCAAGAACTTCAAGGAGAGAGGTTGAATTGCTATGAAAAAGGCTTCAGGGCGCCCAAGAAAGTCCAGCAAGCGCCAGGACCATCTCCTAAAGTTGATTCATCTGCAGGATCGAGGCACCACCAGTGCAGAGCTTGCTCAGGAATGGCAGCAGGCAGCTGCGAGTGCATCTGTATGGACAGTGAGGCGAAGACTTTTGGAGGATGGCCTGGTGTCAAGAAGGGCAGCAAAGAAGCCACTTCTCTCCAGGAAATACGTCAGGGACAGACTGATATTCTGCAAAAGGTACAGGGATTGGACTGCTGAGGAGTGGGGTAAAGTCACTTTCTCTGATGAATCTCCTTTCCGATTGTTTGGGACGTCTGGAAAAAACCTCGTCCGGAAAAGAAAAGTGTGTGGGATTGCTTCTCAGCCAAGGGAGTGGGCTCACTCACAATTTTGCCTAAACACGGCCATGAATAAAGAATGGTACAAAAACATCCTCCGAGAGCAACTTCTCCCAACCATCCAAGAACAGTTTGCTGATGAACAATGCCTATTCCAGCATGATGGAGCACCTTGCCATAAGGCAAAAGTGATCACTAAGTGGCTTAAGGAACAAAACATCGAAATTTTAGGTCCATTGCCAGGAAACTCCCCAGACCTTAATCCCATTGAGAATTTGTGGTCAATCCTCAAGAGACGAGCAAACGAAAAACTCCACAAACTCCAAACATTGATCATGCAAGAATGGGCTGCCATCAGTCAGGATGTGGCCCAGAAGATGATTGACAGCATGCCAGGGCGAATTGCAGAGGCCTTGAAAAAGAAGGGTCAACACTACAAATATTGACTCTGTGCATAAACAAAATGTAATTGTCAGTAAAAGCCCTTGACACTTATGGAATGCTTGTGATTACATTTCAGTACTACTACTAGAGTAACATTTGACAAAAAGTTCTAAAAATACTGAAGCAGCAGACTTTGTCAAAAATAATATTTGTGTCATTCTGAAAACTTTTGGCCAGGGCTGTAGTAGGTGGGACTGGTTGTGGCCAGGTGCTGCAAACTATCAAGCTATAGGTTTGTGAATGAGTGAGTGGTTCCAATGTTAAAAGCCCCACCCCCTGCAACATTTTTCATCTCATTATAGTACAAGCAGGCACAGCCTGCATGAGAGCAGTAACTCTGCTCTGAATTCAGCAGCAGTGCAGCATTGTTGCCAGCCCATTGTAGGAAGCTTCATTAATGGGACGTCATTGGCAAGTTCAACAGGTATTTGTGAGACTTTGCAGGGGGCAGAGGGAGAAAAATGTAGGCACAGATGCACTTGTATATTACCACCTTCGTACCGAAAGACGACTACAGTGCTGCTTTCTTAAGGGAGGGCAGCCATAGACAACCTCCCAGAACCCTGCCCCCTGAAGCGCACACTGGGTGCGCTTTGTGCCCTCTGTGTCCTTCCAGGACCCTGCATTCACTATATCTGGTCTCCCCGGACCCCGCATTCACTATATCTGGTCTCCCCGGACCCCGCATTCACTATATCTGGTCTCCCCGGACCCCGCATTCACTATATCTGGTCTCCCCGGACCCCGCATTCACTATATCTGGTCTCCCCGGACCCCGCATTCACTATATCTGGTCTCCCCGGACCCCGCATTCACTATATCTGGTCTCCCCGGACCCCGCATTCACTATATCTGGTCTCCCAGGACCCCGCATTCACTATATCTGGTCTCCCAGGACCCCGCATTCACTATATCTGGTCTCCCAGGACCCCGCATTCATTCACTATATCTGGTCTCCCAGGACCCCGCTTTCACTATATCTGGTCTCCCAGGACCCCGCTTTCACTATATCTGGTCTCCCAGGACCCCGCTTTCACTATATCTGGTCTCCCAGGACCCCGCATTTCACTATATCTGGTCTCCCAGGACCCCGCATTCACTATATCTGGTCTCCCAGGACCCCGCATTCACTATATCTGGTCTCCCAGGACCCCGCATTCACTATATCTGGTCTCCCAGGACCCCGCATTCACTATATCTGGTCTCCCACAGTACACACACACACGGAAAAGCAATTATTTTGGTAAGTATAAACTGTTAAATACTTTTTCCCATCAGCAGTCTTGTGACTTCTATCAGTGTTAAGCTGAGCACTGGTTAAAGCATGTAGGCGGAGTTTTCATTCTCACTACCCTATGAGACTGCATAACCCCTGACCCTCTGTCTGTACAGTGCTGATTGGCCCTGTGCTGATCTCATGCAACCTCCCAAGAAAAATAAAAATCTCTAGCAGTACACACCAAACTGAGCATGTGCAGTGTGTCCTCGATGCTGTGTTCTATCAGGAGATGAAATGGGGAACATGGAAGAAGGGGAGGATCAGAGAAGACTGGATAAAACCTCCTTATTGCACAATGCAGAGGATTAACCCCTTAAGTTCCACAGTGAATATTGCAAGCATCTAATGGGAGGCTGTCAGGATTGAAATGGAGCTTACCATTTAGACTTATTTTTGTAAGCGCAGTCTCCAAGACGTTTAATCTTTATTTCTTAGATTTACTAAGAAAAAGGGGACATGTGGTCTCTTTAATCTTCACTGGCTGCTTGCTTTTTCAGGCAGTGGTGTGTAAGTATATAGGAGAGAGAACCCATTACAAATGAATATGTTCGAATGGGCCAGTCAGCTACTGAGTTCCACCAAATACATCTTTATAGTTTTCTGTTTTCCTTGGTTTGGCTGTGTTATAAAAACATTGCTATATTTTGAGAAAATGGACACAAAATAGAGCTGCCTTGTGTGACTGGAGTCACTTTGGGTGGGGGGCCCATGGAACCCAGCTCACTTTGTAGAGGTGGGGAGACCCCTGTCTCAGCTCCCCATATCCCTATTATGTGTAAATCACCCTGTGCCTGTTAGGGGTACAGGGTGATCTGTCCTTATATTGTGTGGGATTTGTCTCAGACTGTGTAGACATGTTTAGGAGGTAGGTGGGGGGGGGGGGGGGGCTGTTGATTTTTTAATGTCATATGGCTGGATCCCATTGTTCTATTGTTTTTCTGGCTTGGGAGCAAACTATTATGGGATGTATGTGTTTGTGTATTAACTTAGTGGGGGGGAGGGGGTCCTCCAGCAGCTCTCCCTCCTGATGGGACTGTCTGCTAGTGTGAAATTTGAATACCTGTGTGTCTCTTGTTACTAAATGTAGAATGCCCCGCCCTGTGTCATTATGCAGGGACCCCCTGCGGGGTCCGGGGAGACCAGATATAGTGAATGCGGGGTCCTGGAAGACCAGATATAGTGAATGCAGGGTCTGGGGAGACCAGATATAGTGAATGCGGGGTCCTGGGAGACCAGATATAGTGAATGCGGGGTCCTGGGAGACCAGATATAGTGAATGCGGGGTCCTGGAAGACCAGATATAGTGAATGCAGGGTCCTGGGAGACCAGATATAGTGAATGCTGGGTCCTGGGAGACCAGATATAGTGAATGCGGGGTCCGGGGAGACCAGATATAGTGAATATGCGGGTCCGGGGAGACCAGATATAGTGAATGCGGGGGTCCTGGGAGACCAGATATAGTGAATGCGGGGTCCTGGGAGACCAGATATAGTGAATGCGGGGTCCGGGGAGACCAGATATAGTGAATGCGGGGTCCGGGGAGACGAGATATATACACTCGGGACAATCCCCCCGATTGTCCCCTGAGTGTATATTTCTTGTATCTGTATTCAAATAAAGGAGTCTACCTCCTGGTTTACTTCAAGATTGGTATCGTCTAGTCTTGTATGGTCAGCTGTGGTGTCTGTTGTTGGTGTTCGGACGGGGAAGCGGTATTCTAACGAAAGTACCAAAGCACATTCTGGGTTGGTTTCGTTACACCTTGATTATCCAAATACTTACCAGAATAGTACAGAATGGAAGCAAAAAGGTAAGACTCTTGGTTAGGTTTGGTGTACAGTTCTGCAGTTGGAGTTGTGTGATATTTCATTACAGTGCAAAGTAAAGCCTTAGAGCAGAACATAGCTACAGTATATCTTATTCCATCCCATATCCCAAAAATACTCATCTTCATTCCTTGTTTTAGTAGGTGGAGTCATGTAAATCATTCCTTTTATGCTCCCTGACCAACTGTATATTCCTAAGAGCTGGTTGGATAGCACAGATACAGCTCTTAGGAATATACACCAATTCTATCTCAAACTGGCATACGTGGTTTGAAGCCATCATCAGTCCAGTGCATGGGAAATGGATTGGAGTCCATTGGGAAGTGTAATCCAACTGGTCATGCTGAAGCCAGAAATGAGGGAACTAAAAAGCGCCCCCCGACTGAACCAATGTACATCACAGTAAAGCCTTCATAAAACAAAGTATTCAAGTCTCATTCCATGACATAGCCCAAAATTAGCTTCTTGTTGTTTTTAGAATGGAGGCAACAAATCATTCCTTTATGCTCCTTGGCCAACTGTACATACAGGACTGCTGGTGTATACTGCTCGTTGCTGCAAAGCAGAGATGTGAAGCCACCCTCACGTTGAAGAATTTTCCAATGGGCAAAACAAAAAGTAGTAGTATTTCTTAGAACCTGAGAGCGCGTCTACAAAGATCTCATTCCACTCGCTTTATTTCCTCTAGATTCGCGCATGCAACCCCAATGAAATCATTTTTGGCCTGAATGACGGTTATTATGGAGCCTCATTTGAAAGCAAGGTAAGTGTTGCGGCACAATCATTGTTCTCTTATTTCGGGGAAAGTCTCCAGGTCAGCTCAGGCTGATCATATAGATTACATTCCCTGTGGCTTATCATGTAATTGGCTTATTTGTTGAAAGCTAACAACTTAAAGTATCACTAAAGGCAAAACATTTTTTTTTCGGTTTTAGATAGAGTAGAGAGGAATTAGAGCCCCTGTCAGGTTTTTATTTCTGCCTGTGTCCCCGTTAAGGAGGTTTATCCTCTCTATTTGTCTTGTTTACCATTATAGAAAGTGAAAGTAAGCCCTGGTTCACATCTGTGCGATTTGCGCGTGCACAAGAGCCCATTCATTTGAATAGACTCCGTGCCTTGGAACACACAGGGTAGAAGCACTACTTTGGAAATCGCAGCCCGCATGGGAACTTAAGTTCCCAGCACGGTTGCGACTTCTAGTGCAGGCGTCGTGTCATTGGAACTGATGGAACTCGCGCGTGGGTCCTGAATTCCTCTGTGTGGGTGGTGCGGCTGCAGGCATTTGTGTGGGTCCCGCAGCGGCACCACTCACACAGATGTGAACCGAGGCTAAAAGAAAATCACAAATTTTGGGTTGTCCCCAGAAACGTAATAGAGGGGAAATCTTCCAATGGGGACACTAGCTCTTGAGACCTGGGCTTCCCCTAGGAATCCCCTTAATTTGAATGATTTTTCTCTCACTTCCTGTTTGGCTATGGGACAGGAATTGAAGGGAAATATCCAAAGTGGGACACAGATTGGGGTGGGGGGGGGGGGGGGAGAGAGAGAATCTGACGGTTATAACTGTCCCTTACTCTAGCCAAAATGAAGAAAAAGTTTTGCCTATAGTTCTACTTTAAGCTGTGGGCACATACATTTACTTGTGTGATGCTATAGCACAGTGCAGCCTAGATCTTCTGATTCCTAGTTGTACAGGCATGACCCCCTGCCCGTATCTCACAGTGCAATGCCCAGTATCTTGGCAGTGGTCCAGGTATTCTCATCCAAGGGGGCGCTTGAGCAGGCATTCATATTATTTAAAGTGGAGTTCCAGTGAAAATAAAAAATAAAATTCATCAGGTATAAAAACTGTATCACAAGTGTAATAAAAGCACCACACCCTTAATACTTTAAAGCAGCAATTCCACCTCAAAGAAACCAAATAAATTTCTTAGTGCTATAACTTAAATAAAGGAATGCGCTAAAACCACAAACTATTCCTAATTTAGTGTAGAAACATTAGTGCAAAAGATATATATATATATATATATTCTATATATTAATATATATAAAAATATTCTCAATTAAATATAAAAAAATATCAATTATGTGCAAAACTATTTTTTAGTGCATAAGTAATTTAAATAATTAAATTTGTGAATATAAAAATTGTCCAATTCTGAATTTCTTCAAATGTCCAAACAAATCCTTTTCAAATTCAAGTGCTCTCAAAGAAATTGTGCCAAAATCCACCACCAAAGTAAAGTTGGGTAACTCACCAGAGCTCCATACTGATCAATCTCTAGATCAGCAAAAAACGCTTTTTGCTCTGGGAGCAGATGCAATGAATCAACTTCTCAGGTGTGATGATCAATAGCTACACAATCATCCATAAGGTAGGTATCCACCACTCAATATAATGGTTCCAGGAGCATTATATCACTCTCTCTTTTTATATCTCTCCACTGAGGTCATGTTTGGGAATGAAAGAAAAAATCATGGTGCAGCCAGCCAGTTTTTTTTTTTAATAAAAGTATCCAACTATTTAATAAAGATTTACACTCACAAAAAGGGTGTCTTCACCGACACCAGTATAACAGCATAAAACAGCAAATGGTATAACAGTCTCCTGCTCCCCGCACACTCACTACAGCGCTCGTGACTCAATCCTCTCCACAGATGTCAGCATCCAGCAAGCCAAGCCCTACTAGTTTCGTCATGAATGACGTCTTCAAGGGGCGGTAACTGCTGACTTTAAAAAAAAAAAAAAAAAAAAAAAAAAATGGACACTTACCTGTCCCTCAGTCCCGCGGTGTCCGTCCCCCCACCTGTCACATGTCCCAGAAAACTATGGTGAGGGAGGGCAACTTCTGTTTCCGATCGCAGCAGAGGTGGGAAGCAGGTAGCTGCCTGTCAATTTTGGGCACCCAAACGTCCCCCCACCCTGCTCCCCAAAGGTGCCAATCCTTAACGGGGAGCGGTGGACCAATCCTGAAAGCGGAACTTCCCCTTTTGGGTGGAGCTCTGCTTTAAGTAAAGGTATGTGCCCATGTACACTTGACCACTTCAAACATTTTTTTTTTTTTTTTTTTAAACTAGGGTTCAAGGGAATGTGAGCTATTTAGTTTAAAAAAAGTTATTCTTAAATGAGAACCTGTCACCACTCCATACCTATCTAGAAAAATGACACGAGTCAGGTACTTTACATAAATCAGGATTATTTTTCAGCTTTGCTTCTCTGTTGTGCTAGAAGTATATTGTATATGTTCAAGCATGTTCATTACTTCATGGATTGTAGTGGCAGTGGACAGCCCTTCCTCTGTAAAATGATTTTTTCATACCATACAGAGAGGCAAGTTATTGTATAGTGAGCTCATTGTAGGGATTGACCCAGTTTATTTCTTCTGCAGAGCAGTACTGAATCACGCAGGAATAGCCATCTTCAAGTGGAGCAGAACGCTGTGCGCAACTCCTATGGAGTGTTCTCCCTGCTCAGGTATGTGCTGCGTCAAATCCTGCAGGTTTGTGGTGGTGTTATGATACTTGATTGTGAAGAAATTATGTTTTCTGATATATTCCCGTTCATTTTCTCTGGTTGCTGTGTGAGCTCCTGTTTAGGCCTTGTCTACATGGGCAGCAAAGGGGTGGTAAAACCAGAAGATTGATTTGCCCATCTAAAAACTATCATTGCAGCTGGAGGGGTTTGTACATGTGTCACAATGCTTTGTTGGTGTGGCAAATCTAACCTGGCATGTCAAGTTACCCAGGTGGCACTGCCTGTCGAGCTCAACCGTGCCACAACCGCAAGCCACACATTTGCTCACGTTTGCAGCGTGGTATTTGGAGGCAAAATCCCCCTTCTGCTGAAAAATGGAAGACTGCACCCATGTAGTCTGCAAGTTGGTAAGTTAACCATTTCAATATCGGGCAATTTTACACCTTCCTGCCCAGGCCAGTTTTCAGGTGTCAGCGCTCTCACAGTTTGAATGACAATTGCGCGGTCATACAACATTGTACCCAGACTAAAATTTTGACATTTTCTTCACACAACTAGAGCTTTCTTTTGGTGGTATTTAATCACCGCTGGGGTTTTTATGTTTTGCTAAATTAACAAAAAAAAAAAAACCAAAAATTAAAAAAAAAACAACAAGTTTTTTCTTTGTTTCTGTTATAAAAGTTTGCAAATAAATAATTGTTCTTCATAAATTTAGGCCGAGATGTATTCTGCTACATGTCTTTGGTGAAAATAACCCAAATTAGGATGTATTTTTTTAGTTTGTAGGAAAGTTATAGAGTTCACAAACTATGGTATAGATCTGAAAATTGATCAATCCTGAAGTACTGACGGCCAATCTAATTTCTTGAGGTCCAAGAATGTCAGAACAGTACAGATATCCCCCAAATGACCCCTTTTTGCAAAATAGACAGTCCGACGTATTTCATAAGAGGCATGGCGAGTTTTTTGAAGTTTAATTTTTTTGTCAATTTTTTGGAAAATTTAAAAAATTATGACAAAAATTTGTTTCACAATTTTTTTTAACATACTGTCACCAGTGCAGTACAGCGTCATCATATAACTGGCATGGCAGTGATCAGGGACACTGACTGGTGACAGTATGGGAAAAAAAAAATATATATTTTTTTTTTATTTAATTTTTTATTACATTTTTTTAAAAAAAATTTTCATATTTTACTATGACCAAAGTAGTACAATGTTACCATAGTAACATTGTACTACTTTGGGGAAGTGATCAGTATTTTTTTTTTTTTTTTTTACACAATTTGCTTATAGCAAAGAATTACTTTGCTATAATCAAGCATTTACCTAAATGACATTGATTCATTCAGGTGGTTTTTTTTTTTTTTTTTTTTTTTTTTTGTGCTTAGCTGTGATTTGGCCACAGCTAATCACATGACATGTGCATGTGACCTGCTGTGACCATTCACAGCTAGGCACTAGAATATGATGGATGGCATGAATGAAGCCATCCATTGTATACAACTGTCATGTGACCTGCTGTGATTGGTCACAGCAGGTCACAAGGTACCGGCAACGGGGGCCGGTACTCAGATCTGTCATTGGCCATGTCCGAGGTACACGGCCGGTGACAGATCGCGCCGCTGCGCGGCTCTGCAACCATGCAAACTGCGCATGTGCGGGAGGACGCCAAATGGCGTACACACCGGAAAGCTAAACCATTTTTGCGGCCGCCAAACGGCTATAGGCCGGGCGGCTAATGGTTAATCGGCTTCCAGCCCATAATGGCCATAAAATGGGTGAGCTGTCTGTATACCGTGTAAAGTTGTATGTGAAAGAAAATTAACTTTGTCCCCAGCACAGAAAAAGGCTCTGCATTGTACGAGTGATGACACGTTGGCGTTCTCACCCAGAGGAGATGGTGATTCCCAAATGGTATAAGTGAATGTAATCATGGACCGGATGCCTTTCTTATTAGACTTGGCATCTTGGCTATAATTAGTCGAATCATCTGTCGAATGGCTAATCCTTAGAAGTAATCTGTCTGCCATGGACAGTGTCACTACAGATTTTCTTTCTCTTACCCTGAGGTTAAATTGGCATTTGCCTCCCTAGGATTTTACTCTGGTGTCTCCTGGATCAACAGTAATAAAATTAGAATGGGTTGAACTTAATGGACTTTATCCTTTTTTAACCTTCTTGCTGTGAAGATTGAAAAGGTAAAGCTGTTTAGGTATGGCAATCTTTACATGTTTTGACCAATGTAAGTATGTATGTACCATACCTGTGTACAGCTACTACAGTGATTGCTGCTAGCTTCTGTGCCCTGTGTCGAGAAGCTGCCTGGCTGCTTGGGGAGCAGGAGGTTACCTGTTCAGCACAGGAGCCATTTTCTTTGCACTTTCTCAATGAATGAAATGTAGTCTCTAATTGGATGAGCTGGAGATCGTGACGTCACCAACCACCTTCCTGTCATGTCCAGTCAATAAATATATTACATTCATCACAGTGCATCAGGGCAGCCCTTCAGCACAGGGCCTGGAAGTTGGTGGAAATCACTGTTGGAAGCTGAAAATCACTGTAGTAGGCACTGCTTAAAAGGAATCCCAAAGGTATGGTATACATATATGTATGCTGGGGCAATGTAACGAAGTAAAAATTGCCATGCCTAAACTTCAGCATAAATGCTAGTTTAACCTCTTGGCGCCGGCTGCATGCAAATGTGCGGCCTCCCGACGTCTGGGCCTTGACGCCTAGTGGCCACACATTTGCGTGCAATTAAGAAAAACGTGTGCTGAGAGTGCGCACCCTGCACACTCCCAGCACATATGTCCGGTACTCACGGAAAGGTACCGATCTCCTCTTGCAATCGGGACCTTTCCCGATCATGTGATGGTGAATCACGGCGGACACATGACCCTAAAACCTGCCCAGCCTCTCAGTTTTTGAAACCCTTAAAGGGCCGTGAGGTGCCGGCGCCAAGGGGTTAAGGCCCCTTTCACACTGATGGTCCGATTGGGTCCGCATGTTTTTCAGGTGGACCCAGTCAGACCATCCATGGCCCTCTATGGACCAGCGAGTGTCAACAGACATCTGTCCACTGACACCTGCTGGCATCCAATCTGATCCTGTACTCTTAAAAACAGACGGATGGGGATCCGTTCCCTATCCGTCTGGCTGTCCGTTTCCATCCAACCGCCCTATAGAAAACAGTGGGCTGCTACAGAGCGAACACAGACCTGTCATCCACTTGCTCAGCAGGGATCAGCTGAGAGATCCCCCAGTGATCAAGCGTATCCACTGATGGGTCTGAAAGGGGCCTTAGTGATGCGAGTTGAGTATTCTGCAACTTTAAATCCCAGATACATTTTCTTTTATTTTTATAAAGGTCTCTCAGGAGGCAATATAAAGAAACATAGTTTTAGCTGCACTATGCAGCTTCAATGTAGAGCTCTACCCCCACAGTACTTCTAATCCACAATAAGATATCCTCAACCTCTGCTGGACCTGGAAATATAAGGACATGCTGTGATTTCACGGCATCATGGGCCAGCTATATGAGGGCACGCCACCACACCAGGCTCCAGGAGCGGACGCCACCACCAGGGCTCCAGGAGCGGACGCCACCACCAGGGCTCCCAGGAGCGGACGCCACCACCAGGGCTCCAGGAGCGGACGCCACCACCAGGGCTCCAGGAGCGGACGCCACCACCAGGGCTCCAGGAGCGGACGCCACCACCAGGGCTCCAGGAGCGGACGCCACCACCAGGGCTCCCTGCACCAACAATATAATGATACAGAAAACAGTGCTGATTATTTGGAGATTCAGATGTATTTGAATCTCCAAATCACAATCGTAACAAATTTCAACAAATCTGAAATAAATTATGAAACAATTCATTTGCAATAATTTGTTTCATTCGGATTACATGATGTTTTGGTCCTTTTTGTTTAAGTTTGAAGCACCCAAAATAACGTAACTACATGAATCTGAAATTCATTTTGTTTCATTTTGTTCTTTGAGTTCTATTTTTTTTGGTTTTACTTTGCCTTAACATTTTCCATTATTATAAAAAAAAAAAAATCACTATGTATGAAATGGAAACATTGCAATAAATACAGTAAGGTATAAAACTGAAATATGATGATGAATCATACTTGCTGTGTTTGGGTTGGATGGAGGTGGATCCATCAGAATATCCGAATCCTAACGAATGAATACAAAATTAATTTAGTTCTATTTATTCTTTTGGATGCCTGCGACTGCAGTCGATATCGTCCAATCAGCTCATTATATTTCTCTTTTTGGGTTGGACTAGCAAAGATCACAAGGTGCATAAGTAATCTCCCAAAATAACACGTTAAAACGAATATAGCCAATCTTCCGAAATGGCTTCTGACAATATGAATCAATTCGGAACTACGAATAAACAAAACGGAGCATTCTAACATGACAAATATGACTAAACAAAATAATTTGCCTAACGAATGAATCCGAAAGGAAACCAATTTTTTCAGTCGTGCACATCTCTCATGTAATCAATAGATCAGATCCTCTGGGTAGTAATAAACAGTTGCCTGAGCTTGGTTAAGAAAACTGAAAGTATACTAAAAAAAGGCATACAGACACTTGTAAAACAACACTAGGTTGGTTAAAGTGGGAATAAACTCCCTTTGTTTTATACTTCCAGTACAGGTAAGCCTATAATATTTATTTGTCATAGGTACTTGTATAGCGCTGTTAATGTATGCAGCGCTTTATATTTATATATATATATATATATATATATATATATATATATATTATTACATTCACATCAGTCCCTAACCCTCAAGGGGCGTACAATCTAAGGTCCCTAACTCACATTCATACATACACATACTAGGGCCAAGTTAGACAGGAGCCAATTAACCTACCAGCATGTCTTGGGAGTGTGGGAGGAAACTGGAGTACCCAAAGGAAACCCACGCAGGCACAGGGAGAACATGTAAACTCCAGGCAGGTGGTGCTGTGGTTG